ATAAATATCGAATAGCTCCATGCTACAGATGGCTTTGGTTTCAATAATAATTTAGCGCAGATGTCAGTGCGAAGATATTGAGTTATGTTCCTATCTTTATCTCATGTTTTAGATCCAATGGAGAGGAAACCTTCTACAATATAATGATTTAGTTCACTTCTGTTTCAGTTCTAGTTGCAAGGCACACTTTCTACATGCAGTATAATGATTTAGTTTTCTCATGTTTTAGTTCCAGTGGAGAGGCAGACCTTCTACATGCAGTATAATGATTTAGTTTTATCATGTTTTAGTTCCAGTGGAGAGGCAAACCTTCTACATGCAGTATAATGATTTATTCTTCTTATGTTTTAGTTCTGATTAAGAGGCAGGACTTTTACATGTGGTACAATCAGTTAGTCTTGTAATGTTTCAGTTCCTGTGGAGAGGCACAACGTCTACTTGTAGCATCATGATTTAGCTTTCTCCTGTTTCAGTTCCGGTTGAGATGCAACTTCTGTATGCAGAATGTCTTTGTATGTTTTAGTTCCTGTGGAGAGGCACAAAGTCCACTTGTAGTATAATGAAATAGTGTCAGCTGAGGTATATAAATATGCTGTCTGGAAGAATATAAATGCTGTTTCGGTATGAATAACAATTTAGCGCAGATGTCAGGCAAAGACATCGAGTTTAAGTACCTTTGTACCAGGAAGACATTCCGTGGCACTACACTGCGGTACAATCAGTATAAATATCCAATATATGTAGAAAGGCATGTGTATTCTGCTGAGGCTGTCAGTATATACTGAAAGTGCACTTCGTTTTGGCTATGAATGTTGCAGAGTAGTCCGTGCAAGACGGGAACATTCATTTCAGACGGCACATTCTTCTGTCCAAAAACATCTAATATCGGGTTTGAACCTGAATGACCAATGTGTGTTTGTTGGTTCCATGGTTTCTATCATGACCTACATTTATGAGGGTCAAAATTTGGGTTCTCCTTCAAGGAGATTGCACAAAAATACTTTAAAAAGTACGGCTTCCTCAAATATATGACAGATACTTCAGGCATGCACAAGACAAATTACCAAGTCATTTTAGATTAATTATATTCTTTGTAAACAGCCAACATATTCCTGGTTCAATGTTTTTCATCAAAAATGTTTTGAATCCAGATTTAAACATTTGGTTATTGATTCCTATTTGGCGTTATTTCGGTTACTGTAAAGTTTTACCTGCAAAAATATTGGCTAAAAACGTGTCAGTGCGCAAGTTATTTAGCTCTCACCTGAAAGGACAAAATGGTATGTTATTCTCAACATTTTACGACTACAGGTATGTCATCCCCGTTCTGTTCTCCACTGATATATTTCCTTTGTAAAACCTAAAAGTACACGTCTCCCATCTTCTGAGAAATAACCGTCTCTGACGGCCAAGCACCCTGAGTTTTAAAACAGTAACAGTAAGGGACGTAACCGTGAATTGCGCCGCCACAGATGACTGGGCTCCCCGAGCCACCTATCGAAATAGGTTTTTGCATTTTGCTTTCGCCATTTCCATTTTGTTCAAACACGCATCATGAAAGATTTTCAAATGGCTTTGATTTCGCCATACTGGTCAAGCGTTCACCTGCTCAAATTGATCTCAGTAATTGTACAGTACAGTACGGGGAACATGGATCCGATACCTTAACATAAATGTACGTTAGTCATTGCGACACACACGCACACAAACAAACAAACAAAAGCAGGACTTTAGATGATAATTTGGATAGTGGCCCATGTCTTTTTATCACACACAGAACACTTGAAAAGGCAACAAAAGTAATTATCCCCCGCAACAACGAAGTTGCGGGGATATAGAAACGAGTTCCGTCCGTGCGTCCGTCCGTCCCACACTTTGTCCGGAGCATATCTCCTAAACTATTGGTGATAGCTTAACCAAACTTGGTACACATGTCAACCATGATCCCTAGATGTGCCTTTTGGGGGTTAGACCCAGATGCTAATTTTATTTTTTGCGGTTTCCATGGAAACATGACTTAGGCTGTGACTATGAGGATGTCATCTTGTCCGGAGCAGATCTCCCAAACTATACATGCTAGCTTCATCAAACTTGGTACATATGTCAAGCATGATCCCTAGATGTGCCTTTTGGGGGTTACACCCAGATATGAATTTTAATTTTTGCGGTTTCCATGGAAACATGACTTAGGCTGTGGCTATGAGGATGTCATCTTGTCCAGAGCAGATCTCATAAACTATACATGCTAGCTTCATCAAACTTGGTACACATATCAAGCACGGTCCCTAGATGTGCCTTGTGGGGTTTAGACCCAGATATGAATTTTATTTTTGTGCTGTTTCCATGGAAACATGACTTAGGCTGTGGCTATGAGGATGTCATCTTGTCCGGAGCAGATCTCCCAAACTATACATGCTAGCTTCATCAAACTTGGTACATATGTCAAGCATGATCCCTAGATGTGCCTTTTGGGGTTTAGACCCAGATATGAATTTTATTTTTTGCGGTTTCCATGGAAACGTGACTTAGGCTGTGGCTATGAGGATGTCATCTTGTCCGGAGCAGATCTCCCAAACTATACATGCTAGATTCATCAAACTTGGTACATTTGTCAAGCATGATCCCTAGATGTGCCTTTTGGGGTTTGAACCAGATATGAATTTAATTCTTTGTGGTTTTCATGGAAACGTGACTTAGGATGTGCATTTCCATGGCAACAAGTTAGGCTTCAACTGAATTTGATGGCAGTGCTCCTCTCTGGAGCAGATCTTAAAAACCTTTCAGTACTCTCCTTCCACTTTGCTGTATACACTCCAAAACATTTGAAACAATCATAACTAGTAGACATATTCATAAAGAGTATTTTGCCGTTGCGGGGGATATTGATGCCTTTTGTTTTCTTGTTATATTTAATCTTTTCTCCTCACATAGTGTGCCCGCAAACCAACATTATTTTCTTGCCGTACAATAATTTGGGTTTCATTTCTGTTGAGAGAAACCTCCGTCATATTGCTTGTGACGGCGTGAAACAGCCATCTCTCAAACGTAAATTTTAGGCTGAGAGGAATTACGGATTAAGTGTAATGAATTTGTTTGTTGTTTATCGCCGCATTCAGCAATATACAAGCTTTAAGACAGACGTTTGTAAATAGTCGAGTCTGGGATTAGACAATCCAAAGATTGACATCATTAGCATTGATCTACACAATTTGGATACAATATACATCAACCAAGTCATCGAGTCTGACCATCCGATCACGTAAGTCACCTCTTAACAAATGTATGGGCTGCTGAAGATCCGGGTCTTATTGATAAGCCCCGAGCGTTTGGCGAGGGATTTGCAGCATTCGTTTTACGAGGGATTGATTTTGATTAAGTTATTGGAGAGTTAAAGAAGGCAAACGTACTAAATATTACACTACATGCAGAGAAACGGCAATGAAGATGTTTTCCAGATGTTGTTATGTGATCCGTCATTTTCAAAGACTTCATGATACCCATTCCAAACAAGAAAGTAATGTGATGCCATATCTCTCGAACTGACCAATCACCACTGCATTTCAATGAAATGCAAACTTGCAAAGACAGTAAAATTATTACAGATGCTTTTACTACCTCTTTTGGTAATTTGAAACGTACATCCTGTTTAACTGAAATATCTGAGCCTGCATTGGCCTGATCTACAAAGCCTTCTTAGCGCTACGACATTAGAGTTACGACAGGTCGTAACATTAAACGGACGCTTTGTGGATTGGTTGGGACCCTAGACACGACAATTTTACTCAGTGAGATGGCAAATGTAAAAGCAGGCATATCAACATATTTGCATTCCTTTTGACAGTGCATCCTCAGCAAATCTATATCTTCTATTTGAAAACTTTGTAATACTATAAGTTGTATGCTTCTCTGGAGGGTAATACGGTCTGATATACGCCTCTTTGTAGCAGTGTCACCCGAGCCGGTAGATGACACTGCTACTAAGAGGCGTACATCAGACCGTATTACCCTCGAGAGAAGCATACAACGTATTTATCTTACCGCCATGTTAAATGTACAAAATATCATCTTATTTTATGTTAAAGATCGCTACCGACTCTATGACATGCAAACAAAATGGCGTCTGCCTCTCGACTGGATTTTTAACATCAGTGAAACATGTTCTGACAAGCATAAAACTGCTATAAAAATGGTTAATTATGTTTAAGCTGAGTGTGCAGACCACTCAATGTATAAAATAGCTTAAATAAAGCAGTGAAAGTCGGTAAAATCTATGCAGACCTTGAATAAAAACTGCTGATATTCGAGTGAATTTGGTTTCACGCCGCCTTTAGCAATGTTCCAGCAATATCACGGCGGAGGACACCAGAAGTGGATTACACACATTCTGCCCATGTAGGGAATCGAACCCGGATCTTTGGCGTGACGAGCGAACGCTTTGGCCACTAGGCTACCCCACCGCCCGCTAATTTTCGAGATCTGACTCCCATTTTCATCTGAATCCAATGGTTGTAGCCCAACACAAACGTATTCAAATGCAGGTCAAGATTTCCCCTGAAACAATCGTGACTTTCAAGATCAGTAAAATAAAATATATCATGTATACAACATGGCAAATTCCCGTATAACGATCATGAATTTTCTTACCCTAAAATATATATCTGGCTTTATTTTAAATAAGAAATGTGCAGCCTAAAAACATCAACATTTCACCATGGAGCATCCAACGGGGTTTCTTTAGAAATACACGTTAACTACGAGCGACAACAATGTTTACATTGACTGTGACACACCTCCGTGAAATTAGCTTGCCCTCTTTGACACGTCGCAGTCAAGTTTGACACTATGACAGTTAGATGACTGAGTGTGAAGTCACTCCTACATCAGAGACCAGGGTTGTGCCACAGCTTAGCACACTCTGTCAGTATGTGTCTGTTTACAGTTATCAAGATTTGATGCAAAGTCTTCCACTTAAGCAGCTTATCATTTCGACCTTGACCTCCTCTAACAGCAGAGGTCAGACATGAAGACAGTTGCGATGATCGTGAAGGCCTATTGGATTAGCTGCTGTCATTTCGAGAGCAGTTTTCAGTGTGGCTTTACCCCTGTCGTTATTCAATCTATACGGGCTGCAAGACTCTACCCGAGATTAGCCACTGTCTCCTAACAAGGTAGGCCACAAGCTGTCCATATTCATGTCCCATATTCGTGCCTAGCAGAAACATGACCGTGCGTTCAAATCCTGTTTACACAGATGATGTTTCCAGGTTGATAAGCGCCTAACTGCAAAATTCGGTTTCACCAAAGTGGTTTTAAACCGGCGTTAATTTGCACTCTCTTCCAATGTTAAGATTAAGTGCTTAAGGTGTCAAATCCCTTCTTATAATAAGCAGATTTTGATAAGTCTGATAATGTATTTTTATTATTTGCATCTGAACTCGACATGTTAAATTAATGTAAAGTAGGATTTATACTGAATTTATGGATGTATTACATCTTGGTATGCATTATGCACACTCATCTTCGATATATCTTTGTTTACATACAAGACATATTCTGAAATGTATTACCTACGATGGCGAATATATCGGGGTTCATATTTTTCATACATAGGGCAAAATATCACTTTGTCATGGTGACGTGACGTCATGAACAGTGCTATGACGTCACGTTTCTTCTGTGACGTTGCATTCTACATGCGGCGGCGGCGGGTAGTCAGCTTATGTTTGAAAGTAGATTTGGGTTTATTTTTCCTCAATTTGACGACTTCGGTAACAAACAGAATATCATATTCGTGCCCATACCATACTATGTTTACGACATGGGCACTCATATAATATCCTCTATGTATGACACCCAAATAAACACTGAGAATGTCATAAGTTAACGTTGTAGCTGATCTTTGACCACTTTGTCATTGTTATATTGAGTGAGTGAGTAAGTAGCGTTTAACGCCGCTTTAAACGGTATTCCAGTTGCATCACAATGTATGTGGGAAAGTCTTAATAATAAAGTCTCCGCCCAAGGGACGCAACTCTGCACAGGGATCGGGGTGACCCGTACCACCCATACATCCGGGAAAAGGCATCAAACAGAAATTCAAATGCGTTATATATATGGCGTATGAAGCAAATAATATGACCACCGACATTTAGACTCTAAGACGTATTTAAAGGTGAGGTGAGGTGAAATTGAGTTTAACGTCGTGCTTGAGAATATTTCGCTCATATGACGACGTGCATGCGTGTGTATGTGTATGTGCGGCTTCTTGTACTAGCCCAGACTGAAGCTGGTTTTATAGTGCTAGCCCACTGAGATACCATGCCGCAGTGAAGCATGAAAACCCCCACTCAGACACATTATACTGACTCCGAGCCGACCAGTCCTTGTTGTACCCATTAATGCCGAGCGCCAGGCAGGGACCAACAAGTACCATATTTTAACATCTTTTGGTATGACGCAGTCGGGGCTCGAACCCGCGACCTTCCGCTCTCCGGGCGGACGCTCTAACCACTACACCACGGAGGCGGTCACGTATTAAAGAGACAAGGGAGCAAAAAGATCAAAATCTGAGGCAATATCGAACTTTCGAAGCGTATGATTTAGACGTTAAATATTGTAAGAATTAAACTATTACGACTCAAAAGTGCCTAAACGTATAAATGTCCACGTTACATCAGATTTATTCCTCTTTGATTTCTTCGTTTGCTTGTTTCTTTCATTTTTGTTTGGTTGGTTATTTAACATTGCTGTCCGCAACATGTCAGTGTAAAACTATGAAAATCGATTCTGTACCTGTCATTGCTAGTGATGAGTGAGTGAGTGAGTTTAGTTTTACGCCACACTCAGCAATATTCCAGCATTATGGCAGCGGTCTGTAAATAATCGAGTCTGGACCAGACAATCCAGTGATCAACAGCATGAGCATCGATCTGCGCAATTGGGAACCGAAGACATGTGTCAACCAAGTCACAAGCATAGTCGCCTTTTGTGGCCAGCAAGGGTTGCTGAAGACCTATTCTACCCCGGATCTTCACGGGTCTTGCTAGTGATGATTCGCATGAGTTAATCCCGCATCCAGGCCACATCATCCAACGAAGTCGCCTCTTCTGATGCGTTTTGTTTGTTTGTTTGTTTTATTTTTAATTCAGCAATAGTCTAGATGTGATAAAGTCTGTAAATATTCGAGCCTGGGTCAGGACATCAGGTGATTGACAGAATAAATCGTTGATCTACCCAACTGGGATACAATGACATGCATCAATCAAGGCACGCCGAAGACCCGGGCCAATTCCCCTCATGGATACAATCTGTGAAGCCCATTTCTGGCGCCTTCCTCAGTGATATTTCTTGAATAAAAGTGGCTTAATCCCATGCTTGCTCACTCACTCACTCACTCACTCACTCACTCACTCAGTACAACAAGCATGGGTTGCTGGAGATCTTTACAGGTCTCTTCTGATAAGTACTCTAGGTGCTCCAGGTTGTAGGCCATTGCTACAGTTGTACAAGATACACACTATTTCAGGGACAATAAGTGACAGGCGCCGTCCCTCGGCCAGTGGTCCAGCCCCACCATGCCGCTCTGTCTGATGTACACCAACCTGAAGGACAGCGAGGTCCCTGGAGGTCTGGAGGTCACTCTAGCGGAGACCATAGCCAAGACCCTTGGGAAACCTATGCAGGTCAGTAACCAATATTATCAAAATCGGATATTTCACTTTATGTCTCTCTGCGTTTTGATCATTAGAGATTCACGCCTAATCCGGCAATCAGCATCGACGCTTCCAGATTATCTTTTCAAGCGAATGAAATATTTACAGCAGCAAACAGTGGTTCCCAGCTTGTCTGGAAACCTTGCCTACCGGGCGATATTTACGAGAAATGAAATCTATACAACATAAATTGTTTCATCTGTAGTGATATCGTATTGCCTTATCTTAGAAACGAACGTGAACGGGATGCTCCGAATGAAAAATATTAAAGTCTGCTATATGTGTTGTGGATATGCTATGTTCTGCCGTTTCTCATTGCCATGGCATCGATAACAGAAAGGAGGAATGTACCATCGAGAATAGTTGTGTTCAGTGTGGGTTTAGTTTGGCTTGGATCGAAAAGTCATTACGTGAAACACGAAATGAAAGCCGGTAAGGAAAACCGCTCTATTAACTCCGTTTAAATATATGCTTGTATTTCTGAGTCACATGCAAATTGTGACGATACCAGGCAGGTCCGCGAAAAGATGAGCACACGTCATAAGCACGTGTAAAGGGAGAACATTAAAGAAAGCAGATATATCTTATATCTGTTGTTGAGTTCCCCCATGCTGATCTAAGAGTAAGATGAACCAAGTGATTAAACTGCTATTCAAATGTACCAAAATCTGAAACCTATTGATTGGTTGCACCGTTGCTGCTTCATACACATCATTAAAAATCTTTTACCTATTTGAACTAAATAAATATTTATAGGCTCAAACTTGACACTCAATGAATAATTGGGGCGGTGGCGTGGTCCAGTGGTTAAAGTATTCGCTCGTCGCGCCGAAGGCCCTGGTTCGATTCCCCACATGAGTACAATGTGTGAAGCCCATTCTTGGTGTACCCCGTCGTGATATTGCTGGAATATTACTAACAGCAGCGTAAAGCCCAACTCACTAACTCCAGAATATTCGTGTCAGTTAACGAGTGTGACGTTAAGACTTCTGAAAGCGCGCGTAAAATCTCCATCGCAGAAAAAATTAAAGGTACCATATTTGTCCGAAGTCGGGAAAAAAAAGACAAGGAAACATAACGTGTGTTTTGGTCACATATAGTTACTAAGTGAGAAATTAACCGTTATGGAAGTATGTTGATTCTCAGCTGGTATTTAACATCCTAATATACGATTTCAGAAAATGACAGTCACTGTACAGACCGGGCTGCGCATGTACCGCCTGGAGAGCAGGGCCCCGACTTGCTTTCTTCAGATCCACTCAATAGACGTGTTTGACAAAGACAGGAACCCAGCCTACACCAAGCCTATCATAGACTTCCTCAAGAATGCCTTGAACATTGAAGGAAATAGGTATGTATTTAACTGTACATCATGATAGTTGGGGGTTTGGTACTTTGAACAATAGCATATCAGCATGTACAGAAGTGCTATATGCTTTTAAATGACCATATTTACATATAAAACACGGTTCAACATCGCTTTCTATATATATTACTGTGTCAAATGGGCATTGTTCATATGGCACCAAGTCCTGATTTTCTGATATGTTTTTCTTTGTAATTTGTTTTTCTTTTGTCGTAATAGACAAGTAAGAGGATCGGGTAGTTTCTCTCGTTAACGTTGTGGCTGCATGACATCGTATCCAAATATTTTCGTAGTTTGTTATTCAATCACCGGATTGTCTGGTCCAGATTGAAAGTCACCGTCATATTGCTCGAATGTTACGGAGCGGGGCGATAAACGCACACACACACACACAATATACAGTCGAGCACCGTTGTCTCGATATTCATGGGACCAAGAAAAAATATCGAGTTATCCGAACTTCGAGACATCCGACCAGGGCATATCATTACATATCACTATGAAAGAAAACAAAACAAAAGTAGATTTCATGTATGTCCGCAATGTAGGAACAACTAAACAATCACATGCTAGTCACGTGATTACACAAAACCTTCATTGGATTCTCAGTATGTTTTGATTCGAAACCATAATCCGTTATGAGTAGTGTTTAGTCGTAACAGTGAGTACTTTCTAATTAATTTCTTCAATCTTAATTAATTCTAATCAAATAACAAACAAGTGACACTATTACTACTTGATCAGAACGTATCAGTAGTATGTTTGAAAATGGATGAAAAGTACACCTATATCATGTACAGTGAAACCTGCCAACACCGGCACCTGTCTAATCCGGCACACTGTCAAAACATGTATATATACATGTCCAGGAGACATGTAAGTTCATGACAAAATGTGCTTCAAGTTTTACCAGGTGTGAGTTGTGTTTTACTCCGCTTTTAGAAATCTTCATCAACATCACGTGGTGAGGGACCAGAAATGGGCTTCTCACATTATGCATTGTAGGGAATCGAACCCAGGTACTCGACGTGACCAGTGAACGCTTTAACCACCATGGTACACCAACTACACAAAGAGAACTGTAGACTACAGTAGAAAATCAATGACATGCACTGCAGCAAAGCCAGACCAATCGGTTATCGGCCAATTATGAAATATTAGTGCGTTAGTGGATGTGGCCTAATATTTTTCGGTTCAAAATAAATGCATGGATAGCCATCAGTGCCACCGAATCAGACGCCTTTTATTCATGTTTTCGAAATCGGAAGGCTGAGATCCAGGCGAAGGGCGCCAGGGCAGACTGATAATTTTTTCACTGTATTTTCAGAATTGTTATCCAGTACCTGCCAATCCATCTTCACGACGTGGGGCTGGAAAAGCCGTACTAAGGCGTTGCCAACGTTACTACCAGACCGTACGTTACCATGGACTACTACTACGTCAAGGTCAAATGGCCAAAGACACATGTGGATATGTATAACTGAGATTACAGGCATGCAGTTCCGGTACAGCAACACGCACGACACTGCATCATCTTTTAACCATCGTTGTGTGAAATAAAAGTATTCTTGTGAAAATGTGCGTGTGTGAGGGGTGATTTAATTGAAAATTGTGATAAACAGTGATAACAGTGATAAACACAGTTGGGCAGAGTGAGTGAGTGTGTTTAGTTTTGCGCCGCACTCAACAATATTCCAGCTATATGGCGGCGATTTGTAAATAATCGAGTCTGGACCAAACAAGCCAGTGATCAACAGCATGAGCATCGATCTGCGCAATTGGGAACCGATGACATAATTATGTCAACCAAGTCAGAGAGCCTGACCATCCGATCCCGTTTGTCGCCTCGTACGACAAGCATGGATTACTGAAGGCACGTTCGTACCCGGATCTTCACGAGTCACAATTGGGCAGACATTTAATATAATGTCAGTGTCAAGCGTGGATAACAACATATACTTCACATGCACCTGGAAAATGAATAAAACAAAAAGTCATGTTTTTCTACTGAATTTACGTAAAAAAGTAGCAAACTTATAATAGCGGCACGCTCACCTAATACATGTACGTTTTGTATTTGCTGGAACGACAATCAGCTCTAGTTGAATGTTATACAATCTGGTTACACTGTATGCAGGAGTACGTTGTAATAGTGTATACGTCTAAGCTTGAAACCGAGACGACAGTGCGGAACAGTAGGTAGGAGCTAGTGAGTGAGTGAGTGTGGTTTTACGCCGCTTTTAGCAATATCCCAGCAATATCACGGCGGGAGACATCAGAAATGGGCTTCACACATTGTACCCATGTGGGGAATCGAACCCGGATCTTCGGCGTGACGAGCCAACGCTTTAGCCACTAGGCTACCCAACCGCCCCTGGTAGGAGCTAGTAGTTGAGGGGCAGTAGGGTAGCCTAGTGGTCCGCTTGTCAAACCGAGGGCCACAGTTCCATTCTCCACATGGATAGAATGTGTGAAGCCCAATCTGGAATCCCCTGCAATTATATTGCTAGAATATTACTAACAGCGGCATAAACCTCGACTCAATCATTAGTAGGTGCGAGAACCATATGATTCGCCATGTTTCCCTATGTTCTCACAGTTGTACCTCTATATCGGGTTACAGAACTGACTCTCATCTTACGTTTCCACGTATCTTTCCATCATTCTGGGTCTCGTGGTCCTTAGCTGGGTCACTGTAACCGGGTCGGCGTAACTGGGGCACATCATGAGTAGTACGTATACAATACCCAAACAACATAAGCTTGAGATATGCAATGTCTATATTGGGTTACAACTCTACCTGACTATACAACACATACATGTACATTAGGGGCGGTGGGGTAGTCTAGTGGTTAAAGCGATGGCTCGTCACGCCGAAGACCCGGGTTCGAATCCCCACATGGGTACAATGAGTGAAGCCCATTTCTGGTGTCCCCCGCCGTGATGTTGCTGGAATATTGCTAAAAGCGGCGTAAAACCAAACTCAGTCAGTCAGTCAGTACATGTACATTACGACGAATACAGGTTGAACATGACGATTGCGGCCTCAACATGAAGAGTACAACTGTACATTACAAATACATTACGTCAGCATATACAACATAAAAATGATGAACACAGCATATTCATGACGAATACAATTAACATGGGGTGTACAACTTTACCTGACTATACAACCTATACTTCACAAGTACAATATATACACGACGAATACACCATAAGTAAGGATATTCACGACATATATGGAACGATATATGCTTGTCAGACTTCATGAATAATTCTTTAAAAAATGTCAGCTGAAATCCACACAGTATGTTTGCCTTTATGTAAGCTCACAGTCAGACCAGTATAGATATGCACAACCGCTGTGGGAGAGATTCCTAGACTTGCTCCAGTCTTGCTCTTTCACGCTACATCAAATAGTCATAACACTGTGACGTTGGGATGCAAACAGTGGGTAACCGTATAAGTCATCTAACATAAAGTCTCCGGTTTTGACGTTTCATGACCTTGACCTTGACCGACATGTTGTAATCTGTTAGGCAGAGAGCTCTGGAGTCAACAGCAGTCAAACACCTCTATGTTGTGAACTATCAGGCAGACAGGTCGATAGTCTACACCAGTAACACTGAGATCACTTAGATTGTTCGCTTAGTTTTAAACCAGCCCTCCCAGCCACGAGACGCACAGCTGAAGGTAAGCCAATATACATCCTATTTTTAACACGAGTATACAGAGGGTTTTCCAAGTCGATTCGGCCACCGTATCAGCACTGACTCAGCTATTTCGTCCGTCGTAGCTAATGAGCGAATGTTGTTTGACGGCTTAGTTTGCAATAGCCCAGCTGCATTACAGGGCGTTTGATAGTCCAGTTTGAAACTGGCAAACCAGGGTCAATGACAAAGGGCGAGGATCCTCGCCTACAGGACACGGTGACATTGCATCAGACAAAAAGTTCGATCGCCTGATCTATTTCAGTCGCGAGAAGATATACAAGGCTAGTGACCTTTACTGATCCTGGTTTCAACTGAATTGGTTCTTATGGTAATAATGTAGGTTAGGTAATGGTCATCATATAACTTACAGTAACTGCGTTTATATCGAGCTATGTTTATAACGAACACGCTTATGTCGAACTGTGTGTTTTTGTCCCGGACACTTTCCGTATATTTTAGACGAACTGCGTATATTGAACTAGGATTAAAGGAACTAAAATTAGCAGTCTCTTTTGAATCCGTTTTAACCGTAGTTAACTCAATGTAAGACGTGAGTTTTGTGTGTAACAATCTGTGGAATGCAGATGTACGCCGCTAACGTGTTTGTATTGTCCTGTTTGTGTTATCCTGTTTGTGTTATCCTGTTTGTATTGTCCTGTTTGTGTTATCCTGTTTGTGTTATCCTGTTTGTATTGTCCTGTTTGTGTTATCCTGTTTGTGTTATCCTGTTTGTATTGTCCTGTTTGTATTGTCCTGTTTGTTATCCTGTTTGTGTTATCCTGTTTGTGTTATCCTGTTTGTGTTATCCTGTTTGTATTGTCCTGTTTGTATTGTCCTGTTTGTATTATCCTGTTTGTATTGTCCTGTTTGTGTTATCCTGTTTGTGTTATCCTGTTTGTGTTATCCTGTTTGTGTAATCCTGTTTGTATTGTCCTGTTTGTATTGTCCTGTTTGTGTTATCCTGTTTGTGTTATCCTGTTTGTGTTATCCTGTTTGTGTTATCCTGTTTGTATTATCCTGTTTGTATTGTCCTGTTTGTATTGTCCTGTTTGTATTATCCTGTTTGTATTGTCCTGTTTGTATTGTCCTGTTTGTGTTATCCCGTTTGTGTTATCCTGTTTGTATTATCCTGTTTGTATTGTCCTGTTTGTGTTGTCCTGTTTGTGTTGTCCTGTTTGTGTTATCCTGTTTGTGTTATCCTGTTTGTATTATCCTGTTTGTATTGTCCTGTTTGTATTGTCCTGTTTGTATTATCCTGTTTGTATTGTCCTGTTTGTATTGTCCTGTTTGTATTGTCCTGTTTGTATTATCCTGTTTGTATTGTCCTGTTTGTATTCTCCTGTTTGTATTGTCCTGTTTGTATTGTCCTGTTTGTATTGTCCTGTTTGTATTGTCCTGTTTGTGTTATCCTGTTTGTGTTATCCCGTTATCAGGGTTATGTGTTATCAGTAACACAATATTTATCTGAACGACCTGGGTTCAAGGTTACAGCCAGGTTCGCCAGATAAAAGTACAACGAAAGATTTTTACGTCAAAGCAATTCCGTGAATGGATACCGATAGCATCCGTTATTTTTGTTAGGGACTGAATGAGTGTTGTGGGCCTTGTGTCTGTCAATGTATGTATATAGTCAAAGTTCATTCTAATAGTGTACCGTAACGCATTATCTGTACGTGAGGTGAATTCAGGTTTTAACCCTTCATTTTGAAGAATATCGTAGCTGCATTATGTACAGGTGTGTTTCGGTATTATGTTATTCAATTGTTAGTGTGCGTACGTGCGTGTTTGCGTGTATGTCTGTCTGTCTGTCTGTCTGTCTGCTTGCCTGTCTGTCTGCCTGCCTGCTGCCTGTCTGTATGTATGTGTCTGTCTGTCTGTCTGCCTGCCTGCCTGCCTGCATGCATGTATGTATGCATGTATGTATGTATGTATGTATGTATGTATGTATGTATGTATGTATGTATGTATGTATGTATGTATGTATGTATGTATGTCTGTATGTATGTCTGTGTATGTATGTGTGTGAGTGAGTGTGTATGTATATGCCAGCGCGTGTGTGCGTGTATGTGCGTGCGTGCGTGCGCGCTCACTAAACCGCCATTAGGGGTTCTTTCGAAATGAAACTGACATGTTACTAGTAATTGAATTTCTGTCCAAAGCGGCGTTAAACCTTACACACCCACTCACTCTACAAGGACAGATATACAGAAACAATCTCTGCACAGGGGCTTGTAACGCTCAAAACTGCGATCAAGGTATCAAGGATCCTTTTACTAAGATCCCGCTAGTGACAGTATATACTTTGATGGCAGTTTTTAGCGTTACAAGCCCCTGTGAATCCCGGTACAGTACGACGCATTAATCATGTTGATATGCTTCTGTTCAAACTGCTAATAAATAATAATAACGATAAGTAGATATAATGTATTCATATCCAAGTGTTTATTGAAGTATAAACGATCAGTGGAGTTATGCTACAGCTGCCGCAGGTGGGAAGATATTCGAGTGAGTGAGTAATAAAACTTACACTTATTATTTCCCATAGATTCAGCCCTGCTGTTACATCTCGTTTATCACTAAACCACGACCACAAAGACGAGGTTTGTTGCTTGGTTGTTTAACGCCGCACTCAGCAATATTCCAGCTGACAATCCAGTGATCAACGGCATGAGCATCGATCTACACAATTGGGATACGATGACCTGTGTCAACCAAGTCAGCGAGCCTGACCGCCTGATCCCGTTAGTTGCCCCTTACAACAAGAATGGGTTACTGAAGATCAATTCTAACCCGGATCTTTACGGGTGGAAGATATTCGAAGTTGATGCTGACATGAGAAGGTTCAGAATCAGGTTCAGGCCTGGATTCGAACCCATAAGAAAGTAAGAATATTTATGGATAACAACTTCTTTATTATATATGATGCGACGTTTCGGTATGGATTCTTATACCGTTGTCAAGCAAGAGTGAAGTACTACAGCACAGACCAGGCTTATATACATGAACAGGGATTAAGTAATAACAACATGTAGGACTGAATGAGGGGGATTAACAATAACAACAAGGCACGGTGGCAATAATGTAGTGACAATAGGAAGCCAATGGTGGTTGATGTAAAAAACAAAATATACATGCTGATGAGATTAATTAACAATGATGGCTGAGGTGCTCTAATCTGTTGTTTTTATGAGATCATTGTATGCAGAAGGGATGAGATATCCCTGGTCTCTGTTGATTGAGGGCTTGTGTCTCCGGATTTGAACTGCTCTAAACGACAACATCAACCCAAAGGTGTTGTCTATAAAATCAACTGTGACTGTGGCGAGGCCTATGTAGGCGAAACCTCCCGGCCCATAAATATCCGAATCAAAGAACACTTATCATCTACCACTAAATCTGATAGAAAATCGGCATTATCAGACCACATCATCAACTGCCCCAATCACAACATAATTTGGGACAATGTGGACATATTATCCAAAAACCACCAGGACTTCACCAAAAGGAAACTTGCAGAAGCAGTTCAAATCCGGAGACACAAGCCCTCAATCAACAGAGACCAGGGATATCTCATCCCTTCTGCATACAATGATCTCATAAAAACAACAGATTAGAGCACCTCAGCCATCATTGTTAATTAATCTCATCAGCATGTATATTTTGTTTTTTACATCAACCACCATTGGCTTCCTATTGTCACTACATTATTGCCACCGTGCCTTGTTGTTATTGTTAATCCCCTCATTCAGTCCTACATGTTGTTATTACTTAATCCCTGTTCATGTATATAAGCCTGGTCTGTGCTGTAGTACTTCACTCTTGCTTGACAGCGGTATAAGAATCCATACCGAAACGTCGCATCATATATAATAAAGAAGTTGTTATCCATAAATATTCTTACTTTCTTATTAGTCACCAACTTCTAAATGCCAATCAAACAGCAAAGCTCTAATACCGCAGATCGACCCCATGAGAAACTATCTTTGCCATTGTACGGTTCCAAGGGGGCTATCAAATGTGAAGATATAACCAATGTGTTGGCGCTGATTATTGCAACAGTTTTGGATATTTAGTTGCCGAAATAATCACTGATGTAGGTGATGTCTGACGACGGTCTTGTCATTTGTGGGGCGGTGGGGTAGCCTAGTGGTTAAAGCTTTCGCTCGTGTCGCCGAAGACTCGTTTTCTATTTCCCACATGGGTACAATGTGTGAAGCCCATTTCCGGTGTCAGCCCCTGTGATATTGCTGGAGTATTGCTAAAAGCGGCATAAAACCATACTCACTCACTGACTCTTGTCATTTGTAGTGAGCCCTAACCCAGCGGATCTTGTGCCAGTCGTTCTATCCCGCCATGCCGCTGTGCCTGTTATACACCAACTTGAAGGACGAGGATATCCCTGCAGACCTGGAGGTCACTCTGGCGAAGAATGTCGCCGAGGTTCTCAACAAGCCCATTGAGGTCAGTTGGTGATGTACACATGGACTAGAATTGACTCTGCCTTTCCGTTTATATATACTCATTGGAACAAATAAGGGAACACATGAAAGTACAAGCGTTCCTTTATTCTTTTCCAGGTTCTTCACAAGGTATGCATTGCACTGTGGGTGAAATTCTGGAAATGAATAAGGGAACATACTTTCATGTGTTCCCTTATTTGTTTCTATGAGTATATGTTTTCAAACTATTGCCAGCAACATAATTTCGTTTTTATTTCGTACTACACATATCAAGTATTAAATGACTAAATATGATGTATGTACTATTTTGTGTTCAGTAGCAATACATATTTTTGCTGATTTGATTCCACACGGGGCCTCCTTATGGCTTGTTTTAAATATTCAGTTAAAACACTCAATATAACCGACTATATCTCATCAGATCAGCAAGGTGTATTTCTTTATCAACATACAGGGAAACCTCAGTTTCATTGCCCTTCTCTGTGAAGTCCTAGTGTTTATCGTATCAAAGGAACCCATACATTACATATAGAGCACTTTTGAGGAGGAGGAGTAGGACACCGTAAGAGTATACTCCAATGTACCCCAAAATGTGTCAATTTTTAACACCAAAGACTTGAGCATAATGTGGACGCTGATTTGATATGATTTGATTTATGTGAACAGTCAGATCTGCATTGCCATGTAATAGTAACTCATAGGTTATATTCACATTGGTAACACTGCGTAAATTAGTCATCATGGTAGTTCTCTGTACCGTATATAATTGACAGTCAAATATGTAATGATAAGGATTTTTACAAACTTTTCCACAAGAACAACTTGGAACAAACTTTATGGATAACAACTTCTTTTTATTCGTGAGTGCAACGTTTCGATACAAATTCTTGTACCGTTGCTTGAATCTGTATCGAAACGTCGCACTCACGAATAAAAAGTTGTTATCCATAAAGTTTGTTCTATATTGTACTTCCCAACTTCTAAATGCCACTCAAAGAAGAACAACTTGGGTTTTCTCTTATACCAGCACGCAATAGATCATAATTCAATTGACTACACATGTAACGTAGTTTTGTAAGGATGATGTTAGTGATTCTCGGTCCAAAATCAAAGTATTGAGGAGCAGTTTTATGTTTTATAACAATATTAGATTTAAAAGAATTCAATGACACGCTTATACTCACTTCAACTGGAAGTTCAATACACATTCTAATAGTGGATGGAAAATACGAATCATACGCAAAGTTAATCGTGAGAAAAGAAGTGAGACATCATCAGAGTTGCGAAGATTATAGTTACATTTAGATGCTACGTTCCCAGGAACAAGATCAATAAGGTACGATTGTGCCATATTATTCTGTATCTGGTAAAAAAGACGCAGTTTGCGCTTTCTCCTACGTTCTGCTAAAGATTCCCAACCAGTTTCATAATACAGATCCTCATGATGAGTATATTTAGGTAAACCTGTTACAATTCTTGCTGCTTCTAATTGCAGTTGTTCTAATTTATTTGCTTGATACTGAGCACATACCTAGGCAGAGTGGGAAGACACCATAGAACAGGTCAGTTCATTAACCAAGTAACTGGTCAAGTTCATTTTAGCAGGGGTAGAACAGGTCAGAGCGGTGTATTCACTTCCTGATCACTGGACCCTATCATGTTGTTTTAACCTGTAGGCAGTTTGGACCTGTCGGCAGTATGGGAATACACCCATCCATCCCATACTTCACACGCATATTCTAAATTGGGTCTTATGAACATTACGTAAATTCTATTCAATGGTGGTCATAAGCGTTACTGAACACTGCTTCACTGTCCAAAACTGACTTGAACCTTAATATTAACATTTTGCTCCATCAATGCAGCACATTTTACACGACTGTTTCACGGGTACATGCTTTTGATGATTTCTAAGTCTATTATTGCTCGATACCAATTCATATCATTTTGTTAATTGTGTGTATGTATGTTTCACCTTTCTATTGAATCATTCCATGATTTGAAATTTCAATAAATGAAAATGTAATGAAACCAAAAATTTGTGTTGCTTAACTTTTTGTGAAGAGTATATATTCATCTTTCTTCATGATGCCAACATCTAAATGCCATTATTAGATGCTAGGCTCATAATAGTAATGACGTCACCATGAGTCAGAGTTGACGTCATATTGACCCACAAAGCGTCTCGCCAACTGTACATTTTGTGCAATAACAAGAGGAGGTTTTATAACCAAATGTAAGTTTTACTTTTTTACAAAATTACAGACGTTAATGTTTTAGAGAGTGACCACGATGATACAAAGCGGACTGCGCATGTACCGCCTGGAGAGCAGGGCCCCGACTTGCTTCCTTCAGATCCACTCAATAGACGTGTTTGACAAAGACAGGAACCCAGCCTACACCCAGCCTATCATCGACTTCCTCAAGAATGCATTGAACATTGAAGGGAACAGGTGAATACAATTGTAGTGAAATATGGCCATAGTTACTGTCTGAATAGTGATTCCGGATTCCACTGTCTGAATAGTGGTTAGTACAGTTATAACGTACAGGTGGGTCTGATGTTGAATATACTGAACGGTAAAAGAAACTCCGCACCAGACTACAATGACACTAATTATAAAAACAGCTAATATTTGAGGTCCAGTATATTGCCTAAATCGACACTTCCATATATTCTAACAAACTATAAATTGGCGTTCGACGTCAAATAATGCTCCACAGACATCCAGTCACGTGGGGTGTAAATGTCAGCTGTCCGACATTCATAATAATTCATTGAAAGCCAGAAAGTGGTTCCAGTACCCAAATTTGTCACTTTGATACCTTGAGTGGCTATCCCGTGCATCCACATTTGCATGAACGTCACTTCCAACCGTTAACGTCAAACGTCTGATGGGTGATGAGGCCAAGTGGCAAGCGGTTCCATTTGTTCCGTAGAGCTTGTGTAAACTCTTGTGCGTTGGCGGGGGGATGTTGAAATCTCACTCGCCTGTCCAACATGTTCCAAAGATACTCTTTCGGTGACAAATCCGGAGAGCACGACGTCACGGTAAGACGGTGACGTTGTTTGCTTCTAGGAAGTTCACTACAACACGAGCTGTGGGAGGCCGGCTGTGGTGACACGTGGTCTCCACGTTCTGGGTGTGTCTAATATCCGAACTGCCTGAACTGCTTCAACACGTTTCGAACGGAAATACGGGCTCATCCAAGTGGATACACGTTATTTTCATTTTTTGTGGCCGTTTCCTCGGAAACGTGTGTACAGTCCCGGTAAAGAAATATTGTGTTTAAATCCGTACAATTAATTTTTAGTAATATTATTTTCAAATGTGCAGTTTCTTTTACCGTTCAGTTTAATATATATTTCTACAGTTCACATCAGAATATTGTTTTTGTTTCTAGGTGCTTTTGGTTGGTCCTTTTTAATGCTGATGATAATGTTGATGATCCCATCATCATCATAATAAGCATCATTGTTATTTTGATTGATATAATAATTTATAATTTAATGGTGTAATCACGTAATTGTCATCGCCGCCGTCGGCGTCATCATCATCATAATCAATATCGTCGTCAGTTTTGTTGTTTGCATCACAATAATATATATTCTGAATATTCTCTGGTGCTGAAAATCCTACCTCCTGTTTTACAGGGTTGTCATCCAGTATCTGCCGCTGTTACAATACAACGTCGGAATGGAGAAGTAAAGATGATGTCGTCAGTGTCAACTATGTCATTCTATCGTCATTGCACATTGTTCAGAAAGATACACGCAGATAGATTAGGCTGCAGATTTGACAACAGATGCATGTAGTACCTTGATTGAACATAAATAGATTGATAGTTCTCCGATCGTCCTATGTATAGTACAGGAACATCTAACGGATTGACAGTTTTCTGTTCATCCTGTGTAAAGGACAGGAACATCTTACTGATTGATTGACAGTTCTCTGTTCATCCTATATATAGTACAGGAACATCTAACTGATTGATTGACAGTTCTCTGTTCATCCTATATATAGTACAGGAACATCTAACGGATTGACAGTTCTCTGTTCATCCTGTGTAAAGGACAGGAACATCTTACTGATTGATTGACAGTTCTCTGTTCATCCTATATATAGTACAGGAACATCTAACTGATTGATTGACAGTTCTCTGTTCATCCTATATATAGTACAGGAACATCTAACTGATTGACAGTTCTCTGTTCATCCTGTGTAAAGGACAGGAACATCTAACGGATTGACAGTTCTCTGTTCATCCTGTGTAAAGGACAGGAACATCTAACTGATTGATTGACAGTTCTCTGCTCATCCTATATATAGTACAGGAACATCTAACTGATTGATTGACAGTTCTCTGTTCATCCTATATATAGTACAGGAACATCTAACTGATTGATTGACAGTTCTCTGCTCATCCTATATATAGTACAGGAACATCTAACTGATTGATTGACAGTTCTCTGTTCATCCTATATATAGTACAGGAACATCTAACTGATTGATTGACAGTTCTCTGTTCATCCTATATATAGTACAGGAACATCTAACTGATTGATTGACAGTTCTCTGTTCATCCTATATATAGTACAGGAACATCTAACTGATTGATTGACAGTTCTCTGTTCATCCTATATATAGTACAGGAACATCTAACTGATTGATTGACAGTTCTCTGCTCATCCTATATATAGTACAGGAACATCTAACTGATTGATTGACAGTTCTCTGCTCATCCTATATATAGTACAGGAACATCTAACTGATTGATTGACAGTTCTCTGCTCATCCTATATATAGTACAGGAACATCTAACTGATTGATTGACAGTTCTCTGTTCATCCTATATATAGTACAGGAACATCTAACTGATTGATTGGTAGTTCTCTGTTCATCCTATATATAGTACAGGAACATCTAACTGATTGATTGACAGTTCTCTGTTCATCCTATATATAGTACAGGAACATCTAACTGATTGATTGACAGTTCTCTGCTCATCCTATATATAGTACAGGAACATCTAACTGATTGATTGACAGTTCTCTGCTCATCCTATATATAGTACAGGAACATCTAACTGATTGATTGACAGTTCTCTGCTCATCCTATATATAGTACAGGAACATCTAACTGATTGATTGACAGTTCTCTGTTCATCCTATATATAGTACAGGAACATCTAACTGATTGATTGACAGTTCTCTGTTCATCCTATGTATAGTACAGGAACATCTAACTGATTGATTGACAGTTCTCTGTTCATCCTATGTATAGTACAGGAACATCTAACTGATTGATTGACAGTTCTCTGTTCATCCTATGTATAGTACAGGAACATCTAACTGATTGATTGACAGTTCTCTGTTCATCCTATATATAGTACAGGAACATCTAACTGATTGATTGACAGTTCTCTGTTCATCCTATGTATAGTACAGGAACATCTAACTGATTGATTGACAGTTCTCTGTTCATCCTATATATAGTACAGGAACATCTAACTGATTGGTAGTTCTCTGTTCATCCTATATATAGTACAGGAACATCTAACTGATTGATTGACAGTTCTCTGTTCATCCTATATATAGTACAGGAACATCTAACTGATTGGTCTTTCTCTGCTCATCCTATATATAGTACAGGAACATCTAACTGATTGATTGACAGTTCTCTGTTCATCCTATATGTAGTACAGGAACATCTAACTGATTAATTGACAGTTCTCTGCTCATCCTATATATAGTACAGGAACATCTAACTGATTGATTGACAGTTCTCTGTTCATCCTATATATATAGTACAGGAACATCTAACGGATTGATTGACAGTTCTCTGTTCATCCTATATGTAGTACAGGAACATCTAACTGATTGATTGACAGTTCTCTGTTCATCCTATATATAGTACAGGAACATCTAACTGATTGATTGACAGTTCTCTGTTCATCCTATATATAGTACAGGAACATCTAACTGATTGGTCTTTCTCTGCTCATCCTATATATAGTACAGGAACATCTAACTGATTGATTGACAGTTCTCTGCTCATCCTATATATAGTACAGGAACATCTAACTGATTGATTGACAGTTCTCTGTTCATCCTATATATATAGTACAGGAACATCTAACGGATTGATTGACAGTTCTCTGTTCATCCTATATGTAGTACAGGAACATCTAACTGATTGATTGACAGTTCTCTGTTCATCCTATATATATAGTACAGGAACATCTAACTGATTGATTGACAGTTCTCTGTTCATCCTATATATATAGTACAGGAACATCTAACTGATTGGTAGTTCTCTGTTCATCCTATATATAGTACAGGAACATCTAACTGATTGATTGACAGTTCTCTGTTCATCCTATATATAGTACAGGAACATCTAACTGATTGATTGACAGTTCTCTGTTCATACTATGAAACTGATTTGTTTCTCAAATACCCCAGTCAGACATTAATCGGTCCAACTTTTATGTTAAAATATGAGATATGAGTCACTGCTTAATGAGAATTGTAATGTCTTGGGTTCGATTCCCTGATTATATTTCCTGGCTTGTTCGCATATGTTACAAAAGTTTGATACGGATATACATTTAATGGATGGTCGCTTAATAACCACACGACCAAACATCAAGCCGTGCTCCCAAATCAAACTGCCTCGCCGTGAGAGAATGGTATGCAATTCAATACGGTGTTAAACCTCACCCACTCACTAACCCTTGACACGGGCCGAGTACATAGACGGATTGGTATATTTAATCCTGCTTCAGCCGACAGATCATGGTGAAATTCTGGAGACTAAACAACCATACAGAATATAATCCCAGGAACGCTAATGTTTATTATACTGAGGGAAACAAATAAGGGAACATCACTTCATGGCAGTGTTCCCTTTATTTATTCTTAGACTTCCTCCCACAGCGCTATTAAAAGCCGGTGATGAAAGCTGGAAAATATTAAAGGAAAGTTTGAATTTTCCCGTGTTCTGTTATTTGTTTAAAATTTAAAATGCAGAGAACACATCCATAAACTTAATATTACGATCCGAGAAACATGAACGTGATGTTGATTACCATGTTGATTAGATATTGGTATCCGAGGTACCGGCGATCATGTAGAGAAAGTATATGATAAACCGACAGGTTCCCTCAGATACTGTATTCATACGAAGTATCGAAAGTTACATAATTTGAAATTTACTATGCAGACATCCATTATTTTAAGAATGGTACGGGATAAAGATATATTTACACTCGCATGTTTCTTCTTTATCGTATATCATACGAATTAAATATTTCCTTCATGACCGACCAATGCCACGGAACATTTACGCCTAAAATGATATGATTAAATACGATATATGAGCCCTCGCAGGAAATTAACCAGTAATGAATTATAACGAATATGCATAGGTTCTATATCTTTATAGATAAACATGGCACTGGTATTATATTCCACTGACAAATATTTTCCAACATAATTTTTTAAAATATAATCTAGCACACCCACATTTATAATTAGATAAGCACTGTACCATATATCAATCACTAAGTATTATTGTGCTCGGTTGTATTTTTCAACTGTAAACGGGGGCGGTGGGGTAGCCTAATGGTTAAAGCGTCCGCTTGTCACGCTGAAGACCCGGGTTCGATTCGCCACGGGGGTACAATGTGTGAAGCCCATTTCTGGTGTCCCCGCCGTGATATTGCTGGAATATTGCTAAAAGCAGCGTAACACCATACTCACTCAACTGTTTTCAGGCTTGTCATTAGTCGAGGAGGCCGGACATAATCTCAGATCTGGTGCAATATATGCTATCACGTGTCTGTTATGCCTCGACATGATGTGTGCTGGTTGTGAATAAAATACACGTATATTAAAGTATGTCTCCCTTTTGTCGTCATTTCATTACCAATTTCATATGTTGTAAACACGGCTGTTCACTTAACGCAAGATTTTGTATATTTCAAAACATTGTGTTGACTTTCGAATGCAATTTAGGAAGCAGCTCTCTAAGTGCGAGGCGGTGGGGTAGCCTAGTGGTTGAAGCGTTCGATCGTCACGCAGAAAATTAGGGTTCGATTCCCAACATGGGTACAATGTGTGAAGCCCATTTCTGGTGTCACCCGCTGTGATATTGCTGGAATACTGCTAAGAGCGTCGAAAACTAAACTCGTCGCTCACTCACTCAGAGCATCAGCTTATCGAACATGGAATTCAGAACACATAATATTTTGTAAAACACAAACTGACACCTGCGTCAATGTCACACAATCATCGGTCACAATGAGCAGTCTCCTATGGTGTCATCGTCAGCAACAACAAACGTGTTTTCTTTGGCAGTGCGACCCGTGAAGTTCCGGGTTAGAATTGATCTTATTCACTAACGGGATCGGGTGGTCAGGCTCGCTGACTGGGTTGATCGATGTTTAGTTTTACGTCGCACTCAGCAATATTCCAGCTATATGGCGGCGATCTGTAAATAATCGAGTCTGGACCAGACAATCCAGTAATCAACAACATAAGCATCGATCTGCGCAATTGGGAACTGATGCCTATAATAGGAGATGCCATGGAGATACCATGTTGATTTGACTTGGTTGAGTCCAAACAATGCAAATATTCAACATGTTGAGATCAAAATATAAGATAAACATTTATAGCTGTTATTTGAAAACTCATTTTTGAAAGCTAATGTGTTTTTAACCGATATGTCAAGGCCGAAATTTATCGAGAATTGACTTGGTTGACTCCTAGCGGTGCAAATATGGGGGTTTCCTCGGCATTGAATGCAATTTCCTGCGGGTTATTTCACCAGTTCTGTGTATTT